AGCTGGTCATAACCCGAAAAGTTCGTTAGTAGAGGCATTCGTATCCCGAGGTACCACTGTACTTGTTATACCAAAAATAAATCTCAGGCAGACTTCGTAAATTTAATTAGTGACTTTTTTCCCCCAGAGAAGATAGTTTTAAATTATATTTAAAGAAAATAAGCATGAAAATGCAACACTTAATTGTCCTTTTTTCTCTCTCTTGAAGACCACATTATATATCTGAAAATTATTGGAAGTCATTTGCCTATAGTGATTTGTTCATAACTCAAGAGTTATCATCATCATCATCACCACCATCACCACCACAATAAACAAATCCTACATATATCATTCATCTTGTTTACTTAAAGAGATTACATGTGGAATTTTCATCTATTCATGGGATTCAGAGAATACTTACTTTCTAGCAACTTTCAGAGAGAATTGGTGCCCTGTTGCATACTAGATATATAGATAATTGAGTAAACATACCTTAATAATGATGTCTTTGGTGTTAGCATGTTCTGATAACAGCATTCCTGTGCTACACCAAGCTTTGGGGTTAGCTATTTTTGGAGTTAATATACCTGAATAGTTCCGGACTTGACTTTAAAGTGTTTTTGGCTGGATTGGTCCTTCTAGTTGACTTCAAAAGCATGAATGGATTTGTGAGGCTATACCATGAAAGCAATAGCTATTTTTAACATTTGATTATTAGTCAGTTCCTCTCTCCCCAATGTGCCTGAAAACTTTCTTGAAATATTTTAGCCACAGATCTTTTTGAGTAGTCTGATATCATCCAAGTGGGAAATAGCTTTGTCTTGAAAGGTTCCTAGATCTTTCCTTAAAAAAAAAAAAAATCAAATTGTGGTTCTGTTTTGCTTGGGGTCTCTTTTCTAGATATGGCAGGAGCTTTCAGCTAAGGAAGCCCTTTCTATCTGCTTTTGATGACATCTTCTGGCTCGAGAGAGAATTGCTTCCAACAAGCGCCTGCATCTCTGTCCTGTTCAAGCAGCCACCTTTTACATATCTATCATCTGTGAGTGCACATTTCTGAATTGCTGTCCAGCATATTTATATTACTTTCTTCTTTATTAGATAAACTGTGTGACTTTTCCCCACCCCGATGCAATGCCAGAACAGCAGTTGCTGAAACCTTCTGAATGGAGCTACTGTGATTATTTCTGGGTAAGTGAGCCGCTTCCCATATGCTGTTTACTGCAGCAGTTGAGCTTTACACAGGATCAAACATATTGCTAACATCTCTGATAGCAAACATGGTAAAATTCAAGCTTAAAAATTGATGCATAAAATATTGCAAAAGTTATTCTCCTTCTTTATATCTGAAATCCAGCACAACCCCCATACTGTTAAAACCAGGAGACGGGAATAAAGTAGAATCATTTTCTGGGCTTCCAGTCTGCAATGCCCTAAAGAAGAGATGAGCAGTTCATAGCTGTAAAAAGTGTTTCCCCACCTATTAGGCAGCAGGCCACTCAGCTGATTCCTGTCTGATTGGTTGGGGAAAACCAACTATTTTGAGGAGGGAGGGAGGAGATGGGGAAGGAGAAGGTAGCCTTCCTCCCAAAAGTCTTCATAAAATCACAGATTGCACACTTGTTATCTAGGAATCCTAAGCAGCATCTTTGGGTTGGCGCAGCATAAGACTTCCCTCCCCAGTTCCCCATAGTGTAAAACCAACAGTCTGAAAGTTGCATCACATAGGGAAAGATGTATTTTTGCTTCTCTGTTCTGTTCATTGACCAAGATTGCAGGAAGAGGGCATCTCTGTGTTTGTGCAAGAGACAATGGTTGCATGCAAGTGGGTAATGATCTCCAGCCAGTAATCACTGTAGTCATTAGAGCCGTAAAAGGTTTGTCCATCCCTGTCTGAACCCAACATTCCATATAGATCTGGGAGACAAACTAACTCATATTTCATCTTATCATGTCTTATTCTCTACAGATTGTTTCCAAAATGTTTTTGCTTCTTGTAGCAGGAGTGTGTGTGGGTATGCATGCTCATGCCTAAGTGGTGGGTAGAATCCTGGGTCTAGATTGATACCTTTCTCAATCAAGTAAATTAATTGCATGTTGCCTTAGAGCATCAAGAACTGTTGCATGCTGCATGTTGCCTTAGAACAACCAACTGTTCTCTGGTTGATCTTGAGACAGAGGCAATGAAATTTACCAAGTGCGCTATGAATGGTACACCTTCCATTCTTATTTGTTTTGTACTCTCAGGTTAGAGAGCTACAGATTTGTCTGGGCCTCATAGTAGAAGCCTCAAGACTTCCCTCCGGGAGGAGTTTGTATTCAAACTGACGGTTTATACTCACTACTGACCACTAGGAGGCACTATACAACCAGTTTTGTTCTTGTTGGAATTCATCAAGCATAGATAATTCCCATGAGTTAGATCTTATGTATTGTAGGCTCAACCCTTTAGTGGGATTTGAACTTAGACACCTGAGGCGAGTCTGGTTTGCTAAATGTTTCAAGTTTTTTTTTAGTTTTGAATACCAGGTTGTAAGCTTTCTTGAACTTTTGGAAAAGTGGAGGTGGAGATGTTTGTAATAAAAAAGGCAGAATTTCCTGGAACTTGCAACTGGTGTGAGAGAAGAAGACCTCCTTGAGTTGAAGACTGCATTTAGGCAGTCTTCTTGATAATATTAATTGGATTGCCACTGCCTTTTTCCAGAATGCTCTTTCAACTTCCCAGTCAACCAAAGCTCTGGACTCTTCAGGAGGGTCACCTATTCAATCTGTTCAAACCTGAGCAGTCACTGTTACGAGATTTTTTTATATTAGTTTTTGTCAGTTCTTGTGACTATAAAATCCCCTGCTGCTGAGTTGCCTGCTTCCTGTGTGCAAGAGCAGCCTCTAGTGCCCATGACCCATCAACCTTTTTTAGAAATCCTAGCAGATTTGTTAGCACCAGTTGTTATTAGGAGGGGGGGCGGTGTTATGCCAGCTGGAGACTTGAGGTACATTTGGGATATCTCCCAGCATATTTGCAAATACCTGTTATAGTATAAGTGTGTGATTGCATTTTCTAACACATCTCATGTGGCCCATACTTTTACTGTTCATTTCCTTTAGGCTGATAAAAAGGATCCCCAAGGGAACAGTACAGTCTCGGGATTTGAAATTCTTTTACAGAAACAATTGAAAGGAAAGCAAATGCAGAAAGAAATGGCAGAATTTATTCGAGAAAGGTAACTTAGAAGCTCAATAACGGGCTAAATTGACTCATTTGTAGTTTTGGTTTCTGTTTCCAATGGTGAAACTTCTGTTTCTATTAATATGCAACTCCAGTGGAGTGTTTTCTGTTAAACACAACTAATATTCAAAGATCAGCAAAAGGACAGCAAAAGGCTAACAAGGATGGGCTTGTTGTCCTTTCTATTCTAATAGTTTCATGTTTATATTTATTTATGAAATGTATACAGGTAGTCTTCAAGTTACGTCCATTTGTTCAGTGACTGTTCAAAGTTATGACAGTGCTGAATGAGGGGGACTTATGACTGGTCCTCAAAGTTGTGGCCATTGCAGCATTCCATGGTCACATGATTGCCATTTGTGACCTTCCCTGCTGGCTTCCCACAAGTAAAGTCAGTGGGGAAGCCGGCAGGAGGTTGCAAGTCGTTCTTGCTGCTTTTTTCTCCCAAAGAGCTCCTGGGCAGCAGGGGGATCTCGTACTCTGTAGCGTCTGGCCACACTTGTGCCTGCCCACCCTCATGCCTGCCTGTAGCACCAACTTGCACACCCACCCACACTCGCATCTGCCTGTAGCAACCACCTATGCACCAGCCCGCACTCATGACTGCCCATAGCAACCACCTACCCACCTGCACTCACAGCCACCCATAGTACCTACTTGCCTGCCTGCCTGCACTTGCACCTGCCCTTACCCACCCTGTAGCACCCATCTGCTCACCTGCCTTTACTCATGTTTGCCTGCCCATACTCCATGGCACCCACCTGCCCATAGCTCTTGCCCGCTGGCCTGCTTGTAAGCCACCTAAAAAGGAAAGGCTTGTTAAGCGTTCCTCGCTTAATGACAGCAATGGGAACTGCTTGGACTGCTGTCACTAAGCAGCATGGTCACGTGACATCACACTTTATGACCACATCATTTAGCAAGAGAAAATCCAGTTCCAATTACCATCACAACCTGAGAACTATCTGTACACTGCTTCAATCCAAACAGGCTCTGTGTGGTTTACAACATATATAATAAAACAGTAGTATAAAAGTAATACAGTTACATAAAATAGAATCAATGTGTTATTATAATAGAAACTAAAACAAGGCTCCAGAATCAGTCCTGAAAGGCCCTCCAGAAAAGCCAGAAAAACTGTAAGGGTGGGGAGGGGGCCATCCTTGTCTTGCGGGTTCCATAGGAGGGAAGCTGCCACAGAGAATACCCATTTTCAGGGCCCCTCCTGTCACACTTCCTAGTAGCCAAGGACCCTGAGCAGGTTCTGTGACTGACAGGATCAGGTGGGCAACTTTGATCAGGGAAAGGTGGTCTGTGAAATATCTAGGCTCCAAGCCATTAAAGGATTTGAAGAGAGCAACCAGTACCATGAATTGCCTTTGGTGACGTAGTGGTAACCATTGCATCTCCATGGAGTAAGATAGCAGTATCACAACTGACCAGTGACATGTGAGTTGCTGCATTTTGGACCAGCTGAAATTTCTGGATGGTCTTCAAAAGCAGCTCTACCTACAGCAAGTTACAGAATTTAAATGTTCTTGTAGAGAAATATCTTCTCGCTTCCACCCTCTCATTTTATATACAGGTAGTCCCCAACTTATGGCCATTCGTTTAGTGACCATTTGAAGTTATGACAGTGCTGAAGAAATAACTTACAACTGGTCCTCACATTTACAACCAGCACAGCATCCCCTCAGTCATGTGATCAGAATTTGGGTGCTTGGTAACTGGCATGTATTTATAATGGTTGCAGCATCCTGGGGTCATGTGATCACCATTTTCAACCTTCCCAGCCGGCTTCCAACACACAAAATCAATGGGGAACTGCATAATTCACTTAACAACCCCGTGATTTACTTAACAACTGCAGTGATTCCTATAACGACTGCCGCAAAAATGTCATAAAATCAGGTGCAGTCGCATGATGCCTCACTTAATGACCACACTGCTTAACAACATTTTCCCTCTTGTGGTCATAAGTCGAGGACTACCTGTACAGAAAAGTATCTACAGTGAGAAAACAAGCAAAAGTTTTTCTATGTAGCAAAACATCAATAGTCAAAAGTTTGTATCAAGAGAAATATGCTAATTCTTATAAATAGGGATTCTTAAGAAAATTCCATTCTCCCGTTCAATTAATCATATCCACCCCCCTCATACTGTTTTGAAGGGTTCCCCTTCCCTAGTCTGTTGCAGCTGATTTTCAGACAGTGTAACAATTGCAGTAGAGGGAGGGAAGGAGTTGGCAAAAATCATCATCCACTCCTTCCTTGGTAGGAATTTCAGTTGCAGGAGCTCTGGGTTTCGCAACATCATTACTCCAAGCTGGGTGGATTAAAAGCCAGCAAGTGCTAAGTTTCCTCAGGTGGTTGTTTAATATGAAAACAGCGCTTATAATGACTAAGGATCCATTTTAATATTTGCTACAGAAAGAGGAGTACAATTTGCTTGAGTTCATTTTGAGTCCAGATGAGTCATGCTTCTTGCTGATTTTGACATATCTCAGAAATCTCTCTTCCCTCCACCCAAATGCACACATTAGCTCTGGTAGTTTAAATAACTTAAAACGTCTGTGTGACATGGAAAGATAAACCAAGAGAGAAAGATAAACAGTTATTATTTATAGCTGCTCATTATTTATAATTTTTCTTTAAAAAAGAGCATTCTTATAAATCATTTTCCAAATAATAACAGGAGGGAGAGTTACTTCTCTAGAACTTGCAACTGGCAATTGGAACATTATGTTCCATGAATGGACTTGTCTGTCTGATCGGAGAAAAATGAAAGCACTGGTTCAGTTCATTTCCTACAATTATGCCTTGGTGAATTAATAGAGAAATGCTCTCATGACCCAATGGAAGCTTATAAGTATAAAAACTATTTAGCATTCCTTTGACAAAATGTGGGCATCAACAAATCGCCTTCGCTCTTCAGAGCACAAGAAATGTTCTTTAGCTTGAAATCTGGTTGTACTTGCTGGACCTTGTAAATCTAAGTTTGCTTCGCTCTTTGTTCGTTCCTTGTGGATGCTATCATAAAGGGCTTTTTTTTTACAGACAAGTATCAGTGGAAGCTTTTGGAAAGAAGTGGGTAAATACAAGTCTTGTATACTAATTTAAGAAAGAGTCATTCTATTTATCCCTCTTTCTCAGATGACACTGCCTTACCAACTGCAGAACAATTACCACTAACAGAAGCACATAGGATTGTGATTATAGTCCATGAGCTTAGTGAAAGTATTAAATTATCATTAATCTACTTGGCAAACATTGTGGGTAAAACTATACCCAGAAGTGAGTTGCTAAACATGCTGCATTTTATTATAATCACAAATTACATTTCTAATAAATAATAGCTTCTGGCTGATGTCACTGGTGTTTTTTTTTTCTTCAGAATAAAAATTGAAGAAGAATATGCCAAGAATTTGTCTAAACTATCCCAGAACTCTCTGGCTGCCCAGGAAGAAGGGTAAATGTGTATTCTTGCTATTCTGATTGCCAGTCAGATTACAGGCTTCTCTAAAATTGGTGGCTTTGTTAGGAGATTCACCTTGTCTGGTGTCTTCCTTAGGAAACCCGCAGATGAAGGAAGAATTGAACTGGCACAGATATTTAATTGGTTGGTTGGTTTCTTGTGAAATGTTGTGTTTATAAGGTTGTCATATCCACTGATATTGAAATAAGACACCTACTGGGCCAAAAGTGACTCTTTGTACAGTAATCTGGTCAAACCATTAGATCTTTCTCAATCAACTTTTAAAATAAATTACAATACAATTACAATTACAATTACAATTACAATTACCGTAAGTGTAATTTCAGAGTGCACATTAACAGCAAGTCCCATAAAAAAATGTTCATATAAATACAGAGAGAACAGAATGTTTTTTCAAATCCTTTACAACAGCCACAGATGGAATAGCCACACACACATCCCTCCTCAGTGGGGACCATTACAGAAGGACATTACTCTAATATCTGTGAACATAATTTGTCATCGTAGTTTTCAGATACTGGCAAACTATAGTATATAGCTTACACACCAGTAAGGCTCTTTACGTTTCAAAATTTGTAGATTACGCTTAGCTCTTGTTTAGAAATGTTAGGAGAAAATTGTAGAGAAAGCCGGATGAAATGCATTTTTCACTTACATCCTATCTTTCTTTTCATGATATTGCTGAAAGTGGTGCCTAGATTCTCCATGTGATTTCCCATTCAGGCAACAGGCCAGATCTAGATCTGCTTGTTTTCTGGTGGCTTCCGAACATGACCTGCTCTGCATGTTGTAATAAAGATGTTTTTGTGAAGTAATCACAAGAGCCTATAGAAATATTTCTCCTGAATTGTCCATCTCTTGTGTGTGTATGACCAGCAGAATCTATGTTCACTCCATGGCTAGAACTTGGTTTCATATTCTTAATATAGTTATCATACTTAGCATCTCTCTCTCTGTATGCATATGTTGTTATTATTATTATTAT